AAAAAAAAAAAAAAAGTAAAAAAAATATATACATATATATAATAATCCTATCAACCTCTCATGTGGCACTCCAACTTAGCATGTATTTTGGGTCAACTAGGAAACTCAAAGAGCACTGCAGGAACAATTACAGTAAGTGTGAAAGGGGTACCAGGGTGGCTCAGTCGGTTAAGCGTCCGACTGCAGCTCAGGTCATGATCTCCTAGTTTGTGGGTTTGAGCCCCACGTCGGGCTGCGTGCTGACAGCTCAGAGCCTGGAGTCTGCTTCAGACTCTGTCTCCCTGTCTCCCTGTCCCTCGCCTACTCAGGCTCTCTTGTCTCTTTCTCTCAAAAATAAATAAACAAGTTAAATTTTTTTTAAAAAGTAAGGGTGAAAAATAGCAAGATCTCCATCAATTGCTTTGTTTCTCAGACAAAAATTTCTCCCCTGAAAAATCAAATGAGCAATAAGTTATTTATTGAACACCTACTATGTGACAGGTACTCTATATCCAATTGCACATTACAGGATTTCTTTTTCGTTACTGTCTTCCCTTCTTTGAAATATTTAAAGCATTGATCAGGATGCTTTAGCTGTTTTGTCTTCAGGCAGTTTTATTATTATGAAATGTCTTCAGAAGTTTAACACTGTTAGCTAGGCAGAGTTTTCTGAGTCTTTTTTGGTCTCTTTTGTTTTCTTCCTACTTTTTTTTTTTTCTTTAACCTAAAACTTTCCTCTTCTTACTCTCTGATTTCAGGGAGAAAAAAATCTAGCATCTGGGTCCTGAGACCACTTGAAATGTCTGGGCCGAGGGCTGCTAATGACCTCCCAGAGATAACCCAAATTGCTGATTTAGCAAAGCCCATTCTTGACCTTGACACAAGACAAGACAGGCAAAGGGAGAGGACTTGCCAGGCAGCAGTGAAAGAAGACAGATCGTCGAAGGGCTCAGATCTCCCCGGGCCCCCTCCCCCATTCAGCAAACACCTGGCTGAGTTGGAAAACATGACCGGTCCAACCTTCCTATTGGCACCAATTGAAGCTGTCAGCTCTCGGCTTGTCACCAGTTGCACTGGGAGGCCCCGGGCAGCCACAAGAGCCCTAATTAGGCAGAAATGACACTTCTACAACTGACCTGCCAGGACCTTTGGCAAACCATTTAACATCATTAGTTAACATTTTTTAAAAGTGTGAATGTAAATGAACAGCCACTGGTTTTCAATGGAGTTTGTCGGTGGCATCTCCCCCCCAGCTCACTCTTTCTCTTTTTACATGAATAGCCCACTTGTTTCCTCCAGAATTGGAGGGAGGCACCAGGGAAAATGGAAGAAGAGGACCAGTCCTCTGTGAGGAGAGACGTTAAAGCATAAACAAGCCCGAAGGATCCAGAGACATCTCTTCCTGCCTTGGTAGAGGCCTGAACACACACAAGGCCCCAGAGCCAGCAGGGCAGGGAGGGGACAGGTGTGTGCCCAGCCAGGTCCTGCTCCGTGAGCTCGGCTTGTGAGTATGGATGTCGGCTGTCGCCCATCCCGTGCGAAAGCAATTTCATTTCCTGAGTCGAGGGTGCTTCTGAAATACTTTCTCTCGTACCTCTTACCACTCGTCAGCACTCTGAACAAGCAGCCGCTCTGCAGTGGTTTAGCAAGTATCTTACGCGTGCTTCAATCTAGCTGTACCAGCTTTAAATGTACCCAGTCCGTCTCTAGACAAACGAAATTCCAGGGGTAACTACTTCCAACGCCAGTTTGGTACTTACGCAGATGAGTTCGTTTCCTACCTGAAGCTGGTATTTCCCACCTTGAATCACACTTGACTTTGCTCTTTGCTGCACACCCACAGAATCTGTACACGCCAACATTCTCCATCTGCAGGAGGGGGGAAAACTTCACTGTGAAAATGTCACCTTATCCATTTCCGCGCTGCTCTCGAAGCGTGTGTTTGTGCCGGCTGACAGCTGGAAGAGGCTGCCCAGAGCAGAAGGGAGGCCAAGGCACAGGTGGGCAGCGGAGGAGCCAGGTTCCCCCAGGGCCTTTGCACTTACCACCTACTCTTTGGGTGGCCCTGGTAAGGTGCTTTGCCCGAGTCTCAGATGTTTTTATCTGTAAGACAGAGATAATGCCTTCCTACTTCAGATGAGAAAAACAAGAGATGGAAATATCATGAGAACTGGGAAGCACCGTGTAAATAAAGATACGGAGTGCCAGATTAATTAGACAGCCAAAACTGAGGCACTATGCCAGGTTCTCAGCTTGGAGAGATGAAACTGAGAATCTGTCCTCTTGCTTCTCAAGGCAGGCTGGACAAAGCCACTACACCACTGGCACATCCCAGGTCCCTCTCTGTACCCCCCCCCCCCGCCCCTCCTGTCTCCCCACCTCCACTCCTGCTTCTTCTCCAAAGGGCTTTAAGAATTACAAAGAAAAGTGCATGGGTGCAAAGCAAATTCTTAAAACCCGTGGTCATATTAGCTCTTTAGCTTCTCTGCTGGATCCTAGGCAGTACGAAAGGGGAAGCTCATTTGTCTACCTCTGGATTTCCAGAAGCCCTGAGGACAGTGACAGGTATACAGTAGATGCACAATAAATGTTTACTGTGTCGAAATGCAGTGCAGCTTCCAGACACGTGCTTATAGCAGCTGGAAGGTGTGCTTTACGGAGGCAGCCCAGCTCCTGGATTTGGGGGAGCTTTGCTTGTCCCTGAATTAAAAATGAGTAAAATCAAGCGGGCAGCATGTGGTGGAGAATGCCTGCAAGTCGCCATGAGAGAGAGAAGCAAAAGCAAACAATCTGAGTTTGGGGCAGAAAGAGAGAGAAAATACTGGAAAACGTCCTTAATAACAGTAAATGGGAAAGGGAGAGAACAGCTCATCGTGATGGAGTATTTAGTGCTTTTAAGCTAAATACCTCAGCATATTAAGCAAATAGAGAAAAGCCAGCTAGAAGATGTCAGCAAATTGAAGGGAACGGTGCTCAGAAAGCTCAGAAAGCCGATAGGAGGTGTCTGGTTTTGACCCCTTTTCCCATCACATGCCTGGTCTGCGCCCGCTTGTTTAGTGTTGCTTCTCCTCTCCAGCTGGGGAGCTTATTGAAAAGCTCTTGCTCCCTGCCTGGTTTTGGCACATTTTCTGCAGGTGCCTCCTACTGTGGCCACAATGGGCTGCTAGGGAGGTTTAGACCTGTCAACAGCTCCAGGGGAGGGGGTGGCGGAGGGAGCGCAGCCATTGTCTTAAAGGGCCAGTGACATTGTGCGCCTTGGAGCCTGCGGCACCCACCGGCACCTGCTAATGAGATGAATCCTTTCTCCCCACTTGCTCTTTCTCTCTTTAATGATTTAACTTGATCGCTTTGGTTCCTTTCTGGACAGGGAACTGCTCCGTTGATAATATAAAGTAATTGCCTGTAAAACATTTTGCTCCGCGGCAACTACTCCCTCCTTGGCTGAAAATGTCACAGCAATTGAAAAGCTCTTAGCCCAGTTCAAGAATGAGGTTGCTCAAGAGAAGGGTCTTTGCATATGTCACCAAGCACTCTTGGGTTGCCAGAGTTGCGAGTTCTTGGTGTGTCTAACTGAGTTTTAAGACAGAGACTTCTCCTTCCTTTATCACAGTATGATTCAGTGTGCAACTAGGGATAACTGACCAAGCTGAACTAAAAACTCCCTGGACCCTAGAATTAGAGTACGTTCAGGGACAGCCACTGTTTTCTCAATCCCTGTGCCATTCTTTTCTCAGAGCCCCGAATTCGGAGGCAAGGCTACGTGGGTCAAGTGTGATTTAGGAGAGCATCTTCATTCCCATCACCTAAGAAGGTATCTTTGTCGAGGAGGGACTGGGGGCCTTGGTTTTGCTAAGTGGGATCGATGCTCTAATTGTCTAAGATTTGCTGATTTTTTTTCAGACCTGTCACTTGGCGGCAGCAGTGACACACTGTGGGAATGGGGACCACACGCCTGAGTTTTGATAAATACTTTATTAGTCACTGCCACGCCAATGTGGGGAGTAATTCACCTGGAGAAAAATCGCTTTGTCGTAGGCATGAACCTGCCAGCAAAATAAACAGTGGTTAGTGACGGTTTCATTTTCTCTGACAGGTGAAAGCCTGAGTCCGTATCTGAATGAGAGAGAGAAACTTTCTTCGCCCTAAGTGGTGGGAAGCACCACTTGCTAAATGAGATGCTGCCGCATTACTAATTCGGGAACAAAGCTTCAGGTGAATCATCTTCCAACCAGATGAGCCGTGAATAGGTTTTGAAGCTGATGAAGTAAGGGCAGTAGACATGCTTATTACTGTACTTTATAAAAAGGCAAAAACATCTGCCTGCTTACTTGACAAACTCGAGTACAGAGAAGGCAGCTACAAAAAAAAAAAAAAGGACATTTAAAATTATACATCTGAAGAAAGCTGCAGAATTTTTACAGCTAACCCCCTCAAAGATCAGGCTACAAGTTCCATTACTGTAAATAGTGAAGCACTTTCTTCTTGGAATTTAGGAATTTGGGATTTTAGATTTTTACATCTTTTAATATTGTCAGAATATGTCTGATATTCAGTTGGGGCAATTACACATATGATACCAAAATATACTGCACATAATAGAAGTAGCTTTTATCTTTTACTCTATCTTGCCTTTATCCATAATGAAACAAATAAAAAAAATTTACCCATTAAATAAACTGATTCCTGAATAGAAGAATTATGTTGACTGGCTTTTACCAACAACTAGTTTTTTTCTATTTGTGTGTGTGTGTGTGTGTGTGTGTGTGTGTGTGTGTGTGTGTGTAAAATGAAGGCATGGAACTAAATGGCCCAAAAGTTTTGCTGGCTCTATGATTTTCTTATCTATAATGATGATTCCTGTAATGGAAACAAATAAGCAGCAGATATGACCACGTGGTTATTTCTAACAGCTTTGCCTATGGGACAGGCGGTCAAGACAGAGTAAGGGCAGGGTGAGTGAAGTCCCTGCAGCCACGACTAGGAGAGCCTGGACTGTGGGGCTAGAGTCCCAAACCCCCTTGCAAAAGATGGCTCAGGAAGCAGGAATGCAGGGAAGGTGGCCCTCGTGGTGGGGGGGTATGGGAAGGTGGTGGCCGGTGTCCTCCACATGAACCCCCAGAGTATTCTCCACATTTCTGGAGGGGGGAAAAGAACATGTGAAGAAGAGAAAAGCAAGTCAAGCAAGCACATCCATCTTCCGTGAGACGAACGTCAAATCTGACAACAGCCACAGGACTGGTTTCACTTTTGTATCCTCCCCTCTCATATACTTGCACATGATGCAAGAGGTCTGAATAGAATTCCAAAGTTCAGAGATAACGAAACGGGGATTCACATTTTATTGCTCATGTGGATCTTTGCAGCACATTTGAAACCCCCTGACTTCACAAGGTAGAAATTAACCTTGGGTTACATACGTTTGAGCCTCAGACTAAAAAGGATTTGTCAAGATGTTGGGCAGGTGTTTAAAAATAAAAGAATGCATTTTAAAATGCATCATTTCCTGTGCCTGTGCACAACTAAGTGATGAAATGTACACAGAGCGATGAGACTTATACCCCGGGCTAAACTGTGATTGTTCTCTAGGGTAATCGTTGACATTCTTCATAATCAGATTTGTACATTGCCACAGACATTTCAACCTGAGCCCTTTATTTCGCGTTTACGTTTGCTACTGACATATATCCACTTAACGCAGAGAACTGTTAAGATCCTTTACACTCACGCAAAAAGTTAACATCAAGCTCATGGGCAATAGTACCTGTTGCAATGTTTGTACTCCAGATACAAGTTGTACTTACTTCCCAGTTAGAAAATAATACCAATTTAAAATTTGCTTTATAGCTTCTGAATTAAGATAGAACCACTCACCAAGGGAAGAAAAAGATTTTAGTATTTCATCCCTCAGCAGAATGCACGGGCTCCTTCTCAATCGACATTGCAGCTGCAGCATTTGTGAGGGAGTCAGACAACACAGAAGCTAAAGCAAGCACAGGCTTCACTCCCCTCCCCCGCGAGGACCTTGGTTCTACTTTGTTTCTTACAATTTTCTTAGAATTGCATACTGCAAAGTTTCCTTTCTTTCAAAAGTCAGAAAGCACTCAGTAGCCAAAGAAGTGTTACCATCCTGTTTCTCTCTCCAGTTTGTGTGACACGGGATCACAGCCCCCTTCCAGAGTTCAGCTTATTTTAAAATATCCAACCGAGCAAGATGCACTTGAGTAGTCAACAAGTATGCCCGGCCCAAAGGACTAGTTGGAAGATGCCGACCATTAAAAACCCTACATGTTTACCTGCATATCTTGTGAAAACTAGAGGAGCTAGGCTGGCATGAGGTGTATCTCCTGAAGTCCAAATTTGGAGAGCAAGGTGAGTTGCTCATAAATGCCATAATCACAGGAGCTGGTGGTCCTGATGTGGCAGTTAAGCCTTCACCCTAGAGGATACAAGGGTGTGTGTGTGTGTGTGTGTGTGTGTGTGTGTGTGTGTGTGTGTGTGTTTCTTAGCACTAGGGCTTGGAAAGAATATGAAAGGTTCAAGGCATGCCCCTTGTGAGTTCAAATCAAATGTAGACAATACATACAAGGGAAGGTAAAAATGATTATTTTTAGTTAAAAAAAAAAACGGTGATTCCTTCTATTCTCATATAACAAATAATACTTGGAAATAAAGTCTATCGCAAATACAAATTAAAAAGATCTTGAAATTTTGAATTCTTCATTTTGATTACATTTCCTGCTTTTGCAGATTTATAATTATCTCAAAAAAAGACAACTGTTTTCCAACAATAGGTTTATAAGAAATGTACAAAAATATATATTAACTGAACAGATTTTTTCCCCAGTGGTCTTAGTTAAGAATTCACAATG